GCTCGGAGGAGGGGGGCGGGAGAAAGGTATTGGGGTGGCGATGGCGACCAGGAGGAAGGGCAGGTGGATTCCCGGCACCCGGGACCAGGTCAATCAGCTGTCCCAAGTTCCATGGTAGCCCCTGAGGGCGTTCTCGCCCCCAGCTGGGGTGAGGGGACCATAAGCCCCTCCTGACAGGGCAGGGCTCCAGATATCGGGATGGTGTACGGAAGGGTTTCAGACCTCGGGCCCCCCCTCCACCTCCTCTTCCCCTCCTCTTCCCCCAAACATACCCCACCCTCACCAGTGCTCATCTCCGCCGCCACTTGCTCACTCAGCCGCCGGCCTGAGTCACTCGCCAAAAAGTCACTCACCCCCGCCTGTGCACAGACATACAAACACACACACACATACACACAAGTGCGCGACATATGGACGTGGAGGGATGAATGTGGGGGTGGAAGGGTAGGGTAGGGGAGGGGAGGGTAGGGGAGAGGGGAGGGAAGACAGCAGCACCCTCACCGTGACTTTGCGGTTCAGTTCCCGAAGACCGCGAACCGGGGCCTCTACAGCTCTCTCCGCAAAGCCCCCCAGCGCGCCACCCGCGGAGCTAAGCGACGCCGCCGCCGCCGCCGCCGCCGCGGAGGCGGCGGTACTGCCGCTACCAGCGCCGCTGCCAAAGCCAAGTCCAATACCAATGCCGCTGCCGCTGCTGCTGCCGTCGTCGCCCAGCGGGTGTGATAACACAAAGTGAGGCGTCGTCAGGGACCGCTGCGGTGGCGGCGGCGGTACGGCATCGCCATCGCTGTCTCCGCCGCCGCCGAGCAACCTCGTGACGGCGTCGGTTAAAGCTGTGTTGTGGAACCGGTATTGTGTTTTCCAGGAGGAGGAGTGCTGAACTTCAAGCTGCACAAAGTTAGTATCTAGCATGCAATCAGTACAGCCGAAACCGGCCCCATTTGCTTGATGTGCGTAGCATGGTGGTGTTGGGGTGAATTAAGGTGGAGACATTCAGCCTAGACACGGAATGGAAGTCAACGCAGGAAGCGGTGGTGGTGTACGACATTCCGTGGCGCGTGCATGTCCTGCGGGGCTGCGGGAGTTCGGATGTGCACGTGCCGTACGCTACCCTGCCCTCCCTGGCCTGCACGCGTGTGGTGCCTTCCTAGCGCATGTGTTATGTACGATATACCTGTCGCAATTGAAGGCATGCCCAAAGCTGTTTCCTTATGCGAATGTTGCTGCTGTGGCAGGGGTGGTTCGTCGTCCAGGTGCCATCCCAGGACCAGATCCCCAGACTGCGACTGCTGCACAAGTTGCTCTTTGCATTGTTGTTGCTCCTTTTCCCGCAATTGTTGTTGTCTCGGGCGAATCCAACGTCGAGCCCAGTTCGCATTTTCGCTGGCCGTTGACCTGCTGCTGCTGCCGCAGCCATGCGGGTAATAGGAATGGCGTTGATGCTCTGGTGGCTGTACTTCGTCCTCCTCACCGATTAAGGCCCGTGGTACTGCCCAGCCTGATCGCCGGCTCAGCGGAGTTCTTGATGTGTTCCCATCCAACATCCATGCCGTTGGCGGGTTGTTGGGTCCTTGATACGTTGGCCTAGAGGAGACAGGGTTGATAGTTGATGAAGAAGCAAAAGGAATCACTCCGTATATTGTGGAGTTCAGGTCGGGGTCCCCTTGATCAGCGCCCTTGCGGCGAATTTTGCTGTCGGTCAACCTCTTCTGCCTGCTTCGCCTTCCGCGCTTTTGAAAGAAACTTATATTTTGGACATTTGTTTGTTTGTTGCTTTTAGAGCTATTCCTGGAGGTCTGCGGAGTGCTGTCCTGACGATTTCCTCTCCGGTCCAACACCCAGGATCCCGCCTTTGCAGCGAGCAGGTGGGTGAGAGCAAGATGCAGAAGGCCCAGTTCCATTTACACAATCATAATAATTGCCACCAGGAGGGACGAGTTGTCTTTGCAAAAATTCAGTTGGCTTGTGTTTGCGACTGCCATCGATATTTCAAGTGTATAGGATTATAGCATTTCGCTTTGTTTTGCGGTCCTTTAAATTTTATTCGCCCAGGAAACCAAGAACCCAGGATGTGTGTGTGTTGCTGACTCACGCTGTGACGTCACCGTTGTTGGTTGTGAGCTAAGGCCGCTTGTCAGTGTGGGCCGCCAGCCCCCCACTTCTCCTACGGTGTTTCAAAGGATATAATAACTCAGTAACATTAAATTAGATTGTTTCTTTCAGTGTGCTGTAACCCAGCCGGCGCCAAACTTGTCAGCCAACCGTCCATGAAGCGGCGAAAATGCACTCAGAACACGGCGATTCTGCTTACATCCGCACGCCCAATGCGGCAACCTGGCAAATCCAGAGCCATTCAGTTCCCGCCACGACATTGAACCAGGCCCGGTACCCATCTGCTCGCCCTCGGCAAGCAGCACGCGGCAACCAGCGATGAGCACAAACACTGAGGACGGCTGTTCATTCTCCCCTTGCATTTCCGTCCAGGCACCTGCCCCTCCTTCCCACGGAAGAGGCTGGTGAGAAGTGCGAGCACCTCTTGTCAGACGGGCTCATCAAAGCTAGTTACAGCACTGCTGCCGGTGGATCCCTAACAGCACAGCACTATCCCCACTAACATGTCTTGTTTCCGCCCCATTTCTTATGCTGTTAGACAACGAGTTTGTTGTGTTGGGAAGGTGATCTTAGCTGTGCGGTCGCCGGGCCGCTGCCTCCACCACGCCCCCCTCTTTATAAACAGCTTCCTAGTCCGGGAGGAACTTGTTGTAAACCCAGAGTTGCATGCCCGTCCTTCCGAAGCTGTGAAGCTAGTTGCTCATTGTCGTAGTAGTCGTCAGGCTGGTCATCCGGGTATCCTAAACCATGCACAAAATCCGTGAATCTGCCCTTAGGACATGTTCATATGTAGGTAAATCAGGGTTGCAATTGATTCATGTGCATTGGACTCTGAATCGGAGCCAATCGAGCTATGCATGACAATTTAATGAGGCGGCATCGGTGTGTATCGGTAGCTGGACCCTATCTGAAACCAAACCGGACACACACCTTGTACATGTACATCGGAACTGGCCGACCAACTTCCGCCCATTGGAAGGGAGGTTTCAAGGTGCTTGCTGGCAATCTCCTCAATGGTGTAGTAGCGAGGCACCTGGCCCACGGAAAGCAGCTCTTCATAGGCCGCCATGTAGCAGTCGACACACTCCTTCATGGCCGCATGCCCGTTTTTGTACTTCAGCTCCTTCTTGTTTGGGTTGCTGACAATCATAGATCATATATTATTGCTGCATAAGGTGGCTTTCGGTGTCCATCATCCATTCCGTGGGTAACCTCTGCTGGTGGGATTTGGTCTGTTTCAGGTCGCCTTCAGCATTACCGTCACCATCATCATCAGTTGCAGGATGTTTGCATTTTTTTGCTGCGTCCGGGTTTCAATTGCTGCAGTGTCGCAGCCACCAACACGATGTGTGCTGCCACACCCAGCTGATGCTTCACAGCTGTCAGTGTCCCATCACTACCCAAGGCAAGCCAGCATTATCAAAGATATACAGTACACTGTGTGTGTCATTGTGATGATGGTAACTACCAGCTGGCTTGTACATATATAGCTGCTAGAATGCTTGGAACACTTTATGTAGTTTGTCAAGTCATTCTAACACCAGGCAAAGAGTACTCAGGGAGATGCCAGGGGAGCTGATCCCTTCTTACAGTCATACTCCAGACCCCAATCTGATTCAGGCCCAATGGGCACCGACTCACAGTCCAATTCGCATGATTCCACCCTGGCTTGTCTACATGTGAACACAAACTAACTCCGGATCAATGATTTGAGTCAGTTCATGCTAAAAGCATGTAAAGCACCCTTTTGATATAAGCCATCCATGGATATGCTTTATGGACTGTGCCTCAAAGATTGCCGTACTGTTGAGAGCTTGGAATGCGGGCTATGCGAAGCTTGAGCCGGGTTAGCTAAGGCGTAGGGCCTTACGGCCGTTTTAAGTGGTACGACTTGAGGCCGGCGATCCGTGTCCTCAGGATCGTCTTTTGCATAAATAGCGCGTGTTGCAGGTTTTCTGTATCTTGTTTTTGTTGTTCAGCACGCGCTGAACAACGAGGCAGGTCCCGCGCCTTCGGCGCGCTTTCTGTTTTTTCCGCTGTGCTTTCAGCTCTTCAGCAAGACCCATCGGGTAGAGTGCCCTGATTGAAGGAGCACCATTATCGCTCCGTCGTCATCGTCTTGAAGATCATGGCAACCGTAGCAGTATCCGTCCAAGCCGTTTTAGCGGTTTTTGTCGTTTTCTGCGGCGTTGCTGGCGCCATGATGCCGGGCCAATATGGTTCCCAGCCCCCTTCCCCATATATGCAAGGTCTGCTGGGTGGCGGCGCTACGCCGCTAGGAGGCGGAATGGCGCCCAGCGCGGTACCGAGAGCGGCAACTATGTCTGGTGCGGCGGTTGCTGGGCCGGACATCGCTGCAATGTTACTCCAGATGCAACAAGACCTGGCCGGGGTCCGCGCGCGCCTAAATAGTCAAGGTGCGACCTCGGGTCCGGAATACGATTTGCGCGCGCTGACGGAGGATTTTGCGTCGCCTCAAGTGCAGCGCTCTCCAGCCGGGTCGCGGTTTCCGTTTCCCGACTATGTTCTGCACAATTTGCCGGGAACCATGACGGTGGATAATCTGGTTTTGCATAATTTTCGGGCAATTCCTGAGTGGCAGGAG